ACGAAGTTTTTTTTTTTTTTTTTTAACTGGAACGTTTTGTCAAAAGCTATAAGCTAGAAGCTGCTAAATGCTTCCAAATGCTTTGTGTCAACACCCCTAAGTTTTTTAAGTTGCATCCTAAGTTTTGTAAGTTTCCTAGTTTAAGTTTTGTTTTTCTCATATAAATAGGAGCATGTAATCAATTTTTTAATCATCAAGCAATAAATCAATTTCAAGTATAAAAATTATTATGGTATGATAGCAACGCTCTTTGGAAAATCAAAATTAATACATTATGATGGGAAGCAACAACAACCCTCCGCCACCAACCGGAGAAAAGGACATCCACATGTCCCCCTAATTCCTCACATTCAATTGGGGCTTATCTACGTTGGCGATAATCTGCTAAACGATGACAATTATAGCGATTGGAACAACGAGATGACTAACACATTATTTGTCAAATATAAAAACGGATTCGTTGATGGTTCACTCCCCATACCTGAAGAAGGATCCAAAGGCACCATGAATTGGAAGTGATGCAATGCAATGGTTTGAGGATGGTTGTTTAGCACCATGCAGAAAGAAATCAAGAGTAGCGTAAAATACGATATCACCGCTAAAGACATATGGGACGAATTGAAGGAAAATTTTGACAAAGAGAATGCCCGAAAGGCATATGAACTTAAAAGAACAGAAACCATGATTCAACAAGGAAAAATGAAGGTATCGACCTACTACACTAACTCAGAAGCATATGGGACAAAAATCGTTCCAGCACTCCAACACCGGCTTGCTCCTATCAAGGATGTACATGTGACATCACAAAAGAAATCAAAATAATACGTGAAAAGGAACGTTTGTATGATTTATTAATGGGACTGAATGAAGAATATGGGATGATTAGAACACAAATATTAAGCACTAGTCCTCTTCCAACATTAGGAAATGCATATCATCTTATTAATCAAGATGAGCAACAAAAACAAATTGGAAACACATGTGTTGCCACCAATGAATTAGCCGCATTTCAAGCTTCAAGAAACAATCCCAAGAATCATAATAAAACCAACACATATCAACCACCAAATAAAAAGAAAAACAACAATTGTTGGTGCAATCACTGTAAAAAATCAGGACACACCATGGAAGGATGTTTTTGTTAGATTAGGTGTCTAAGCTCATAACTATAACTGGTATATACTTGAATTGATAGTGGCAGAGTCCTTTTGGGTTGGCCTTAAATCTAGCAACTTGACATGATGAATTTTAGAGAGAGAGAGAGATGTTGATTTATTATTTGATTAATAATATATTACGAGAATAATATATTAATTAGAAATAGTAATATTTAATTAATATTTAATCAGAAATTACTTTGAATTAATTTTGGGATTAAAATAATTAATTAAAAGTGTAGGGACTGAAGTGTAATTGTTCAATATTTGAGCAATACGCATTCTACAACCCTCTATAAGGCTTGGATGGTTTTCATTTAGCCTTAGGGTTTCTATAATTATCCATGGTCGATAATCAGGAAGGTAGTGTGACAGACTGACATCCCCATTTTTACGGCCAGAAAAGACTGATTTTGTTTATGCTTTATAAAAATCAGAGTACCTTTTTTAATAAAAATATTGCGGAATTTGTTCCCAAAAAAACACGATAATTGCGTTATCAAAGCATTTATAAAGAAATGTATTTTTATTCACTTTTAAAACATTTGGGATGTCATCGCCAATACAGAAACATAAGCATAAACAGAACTTACATCCATTTACACTAGTGATCTACATCTCTTTTAAATCTCTCAGTGTAATGTAACTTCATATCGACACCTGTGATACAAATAAACTGAGTGGGTCAGGTTGGGAAACCTGTACATAGGGTTTTCAACCCACAATAATATAATTATTATATTTAAACATCAAACAATCAACCCAATTACCCATTCCCATTATCTTCTTAAGGATTACCCTAAGGATCATCTAACCCTTGTTCATTCATTCCTAAGGATCATCCTAAGGAAACTACATGAAGTCCATTGTTGCCAATGACACAGTAGTCAAGCACAGCTGCTAATATTATCACTTGGGTGCAGCTGCTAGAATTGGGACTTTTTCTATAAGGCGCTTCTGCCGGTATTGACCTTTAAATGCTACTGGCATGGTCATAAGGCTCCCTATTAGGCGTAACAGTCGATACTGTCCTTAGACGTTTACCGTAGATCTAAAACATCTACGGGTTGTGGCGCAGCTGCCAGTGCTCATCTATAGGGTACTAGGTCCATTGCTGCCAATGTTTACCTATAGGGCACTAGGTCCATACTACTAATGTTCCTTTATTTCAACTTTTACCCCTCATCATTCATCTACCCATGTTTTACCCAACATATTTTGTAGATATAAAATACTTTATACAATTTACATCATTTAAAACATGTATAAAAAATCTTTCACCCGCATAGACAACAAGTATTCAGACAATATGCACACATAGCACGTAATTTATATTAAAATACTTCATATCTATGTGTAAGATGAAAGAGACCATGCACTCACCTGATACGGTGGTGACTCAGCACTTGGACAACGCTTCGATACTCTCAAAACAATTTTCCTTCGATAAAACCTAATATTAATATCACTAGGGTTTAGTCTAACGATAACCGTGACTAATTAATAGTGTAACTATTATTACTATTATATAAGCGTTAAACGATACTTATATAACTCATAATAATAGCCCAAATAATTATTTTAAGGACCTAATAACATTACTATAATTATTTGAAAGCTATATTAAAAATTGCGTAAGCGTAGCTCACTTATAGTGGATTTTTAAGAAAACCGGACTTTGCTTGGACCAGCGTTTCCGAAACCGAAAGACCCTTTTTCTCGGGACTCTGGGAACCTCGAGGCTTCCTTAGGGTGCTAGGGGATCACCTAGGCTTAGGGGAGGGTTAAAACCCTTAGAGAGAGAAAGTAATTTAGAGAGAGAAAGAGAATGGTGTGAAAAATCCGGAGACCCTCGCAGGTATTTATAGGGGGCGAAGCCTCTCAGAACGTTGGGCGTACCGAGGGTACGCTGGGCGTATGCCTCGGATGAGAATGCCAGACGAAGCCAGCTGTCTCGCACCATCGGATGGATCAGACCCGAGCTACGCGGGACGTAACTTCTTCGGACGCGAGGCGTATGCAAGGGCAACATGTCGTGATCCGAAGCGACTCCTGAACCAACATCGGATGGCCCAGATGCTGCCACATCATCAAGTTCTTATCAGACTTCGCAATTTCGACTACAAACTTTAAAAATTCGTATCTTTCGCATACGAGATCCGTTTTTGACGTTCTTTATATCCACGCGAAGGTGGGAACGTACTCTACAACTTTCGTTTAGACTCCATTGGCTAATTTTGACTTTATTTTAAAAGTTACATTATTAACAGGCCGAGACATGATTGGTCCGTTAAATTCTCATAACTTCTTCATTTGACGTCCGTTTTCGCCCATATTTTTCTCGTTACACTACTCTTAACGAGATCTTCGATTCTCATTTAGGTCGTGTCGGCTAAAAATCGCTCGATCTGTTATTCGAATTTCGGGTTGTACCCTACTAATCTGAAACTTCGAAAAATCATAACTTCCTACTACGAAGTCAGATTTGGGCGTTCTTTTTATGGACGCTCTTGGTTTAATGTATTCTACGACTTTCATTTAGATTGCTAAGGCTGAATATCGCTCTATCGTAAATTGACAATTTAGGTTTCCCGGTGTCGTGTCGATTCCGTCGCGAAACTTCGACGGGCCATAACTTCTTCGTTATGACTCGGATTTCAGTGTTCTTTATATGTACGGAAACCTTGCAACATATACTATAAATTGGTTAAAATTATTTATTCTAAATAATATCTTGTCGAAAAGTCATTTTCGACCCTTATTATCTCTAAATTGACTAGCCCGGATCTACGAGCGTTGCAGGTAGATAATTACCCGATTTAAGATAATCTTAGATTTTGGCTTATCTAGGGTTTCCTGACTGCACCATAAAAGGAACCTCAACCCTAGAATTTTTGGACACCTGTAATTGTGAAGAGCCAGCCGAATTTCTGAGTCTCCCTCTTATATCTTAATATTTTTCCTTTTGCTAGTGTTAGGTGTGAACCACTAGACACACGGCATTTATGGTGCTTTCTCTCAAGGGTTCAGCAACAAAAGAATCTTTATTATTAGTCAATAACAATCAACGTATGTTTCTCCTAACCCTAATTAGTCAATTTTCGAAAATATGCTAGATGTTCTAGGGTTTCTTATTTGTTGTTCAAAGTTGTATATTCAATTAGAGAAAACATAGATCAAGTAATAGGGTTGCATGCACACATAGAAAATTATATGTTTTGCATAATACACATCAGTGGTATTAAAGCATATGTTTTGTTTACTATTGAATTGTTACAATTGTTGAACTTAAAGAAGGAGAAGCAAAACATAATCTTCATTATGTTCCCCCACCACAACGTGGTGACCTGCGATTTTGTTTGACCACGACGTGGTGGACTATTAGATCCGTAAAATTCGGTTTTATTGCTTATCTCATGAATTGATTAGGATAATTACCTTAAATAATGTTTTAATTATGTACTGCTGACAATTTTTAAGTAATAAATTGCAAATATGGTCCCTCTAGTTTGCCGATTTCTGTGGGTAAAGTCCAAAAAAAAGTTTGCTAGCAAAAAACGTTCTTTTTTTGATGCTCGAGCTGTGGATTTGGTCCCTGCCTCTAACTGCAGTTAGAGGCATTCCATTTTCTTCTCCACGTGCCATGCACGTGAGGGTATTTTTGTCCTTTCATTTATGAGGGGAATGCTCATCTATTACCGCGCATTTAACGATGCCCAAAAACATCAGACACTCCATCTTCTTCCTCGTTCAATTTCCATTGACATTCGAACCTTAAGTCAACGATTTCCACCCCAAATCTTTTCTTTAGCTGAACTACAGTCCAGTAGGTAGAAGGAAAAAATGGTGCATTCATTGTGGACTATACGTCCTTCGACGATGGGGTTTGATGCACTTGATTTGTATGGTGAGTGTTATTATAGCTTTTTAAACTTAATTTTTTTTGAAATTTCACACAATATGCTAACTACATTTTGTATTTTTTGTTGTTAGGGATAGTCGATCATCCCCATTTGTTCACAGTTGAACTTCGTCATGGTGGAAAGTTCACACCTTTTCCGAATGTAAGATACGTTGAAGGGAAACTTACGTATATTGATTTAGTTGATATAGACGAGTTTTCAATGCATGAACTCGACGCTATGATGCTAGAACTAGGATACGTGGTTCCCCCAGTAATATATTATCACTTCAAGATTCCCAATGAAGACTTGATTTTTGGCCTTAGAGCTCTAGGTAATGATCAAGATGTGTGTAACCTAGCTAAATATACTAGAGCTAACAAGGTGATCTAGGTGTATACTGAGCATGGCACAACCAACTTGGTTACATATTTCATGTCACCAAATAAGAGTAATGGTGTTGTCATTAAACAACTAAATGAAGAAGATGAAGTGGCAATTGAACCAAAAAAAACAAAACATAGTTCATGATCCCCAACATGAAAGTTGTAGTTCATCATTACCACTTGTGGTTTATGGAGGTGAAGCAAAATCACTTTCACCAGAAATAAGGAGAACAAGAAATTGGAAGCCAAGAGAGGGAACTAGGTCATGTTCTAAGAGGTTATACATGGAAACTGAAACAGGGGATAATCAAGACAAGGAAGCACCATCAAGTGAAATCAGGGATAATCAAGACAAGGAATCACCATCAAGCGTGACAAGAGATAATCAAGACAAGGAATCACCATCAAGCGTGACAAGAGATAATCAAGACAAGGAAGTACAACAAGAACATGAGCTTGATGCAGCAACTGTGCATGTACCAATGGGTTTAGCTGAAATGTTGAATGTAGACTTTGATCCATTTGAAGGGTTGCATGATAGTGAAAACAACAACATAACAGACCCTACAACAATCCACCTTGGTCGTGAATATCAAGACTTTGATCAATATAATGGGGGTTTATTTGATGGTCAATCAGATGAGTTTAATTCAGAAAAAGGTGAAGATGGTTACAGTGATGATGATAGTGATTATGGTAGTGATGTTATAGTAGAAATAGACAATGAAGTTGATGACATTGATGTTGACATGAGTGACTTTAAAATGACCATTGATGAAGGTGTGGAGTATTCAGGGTTTGGGTTTAACAATGATGTAAAAGACAAACAAGAAACAGACGAAGAAGAAGACCTTGAAGTAATTGATTGTGATGAATGGGATTCATTAGGAGAAGACTCTGATACTGAAAAGAATAGGAGGGTTCTATTAAAACGATTGGGTAAGGAGAAAGTTTGTTCACATGGTGAGGTGCATAAATCTAGTTTTTATGTGGGACAGATGTGGAAGTCAAAGAAAGATCTTAAGAATAAAGTGGATGAGCATGCACTTGAAACAAGGAGGAATCTTGCTTTTTAAAAAAGAATGATGCAACAAGACTAAGGGCATATTGCAAAGGAGTTGTGCCTGGTACTTGAAACAAGGAGGAATCTTGCTTTTAAAAAGAATGATGCAACAAGACTAAGGGCATATTGCAAAGGAGTTGTGCCTGATACCAATGTCAGTGGTCCACATGTGGATGGTGGGAGAGAATGAGCCAAAAGGTAGGGCAATGTGGCCTAAAAGTGATTGTCCCACTAGAATTATCCCACCTCCATACCACAAAATGTCTGGCAGGCCAAAGAAGAAAAGAAGACAGTCCATGGAGGAGAGAATGAGCCAAAAGGAAAAGTCCAGTCAAACTGAAAGTGTGATAGCACGTCAAAGTCAAACTCAAGGATCCAAAGAATTAGTAGGAAATTTGGGAGTGTCACTTGTGGTAAATGCAAACAAAAGGCCACAACAAAAGGACATGTAAAGGTCAAGGTGTAGGTCAACAGGAGGGTGGAGAGGCTAATGAGGGTCATGGTCAAGAGTTGTTTGTATGGTCAAGTGTAATGTTAAGTTGTTAAATCATCTTTTGGTCTAATTTTTTTAAGAAATTGGCATATGCTGGTTGTTTTAACAGTTATTAGTATGTTAAGTTATTTTGCAATTCCAAAACTCATTTGGTTGCTTCTTTTTTGTTACACTTGGATACTATAATGACAATCGCTTTTGGTTATGTACAATGGTATTGTAATTTGCATTGACTTATTTGGATTATATCTTATGATTCAATAACACTTAGTAAGTTCCAAAATGGTATTGTACTTTTCTTAATACAATTTCCTGTATTGTATTACCATTACAGTCTCCACAATAACAACAATTAAATAAGATAATATCCCATACATTATAATTCGAGGTACAAGGTTCATGAAATGACCATTATAGTATACAAAGGCCTATTCATCAAAACAATAAGATCCCAAAAAAAAACTTAGCACCATAGGTAGAACTTAACCCTAATCCCTAATTCCACATCCAGAAAACAAGAAAAAAAATCCAACTGCACCACAAGTAGAACTTCAATTTACAAACTTCACCTTCTAATTCTTTCACTGTCATCTTTAGGTAAAACCTCAAATTCTGAATTTCATCTTCTAACTCTTTCACCGAAAGCTTCAAATTGTTCATGCTCTTCAGTAGACTAGGAATGATAGCCTTAGCACGATCACACATTGGAGGATCAACCCATCCAAGGAATCGACATTTTGAGTCCTTTCAAAGATGAAGCACACAAAATTAGGGCAACAATAAGGTGTTTGATTGCAAAAATTAGAATGCTACTTTACCGGTAGAGGGCATGCGTAGAACCACCGACCTGGATTGAGTGGAGTCCACGATGTGCACGACACAGAATTGTTGCCACATAAGCATATGATCGTTACCATTTTTGCAGAGAGAGCCATTTGGGAAGATGGGTTTAAGTCGAGGTTAAATAGAGAAATTAGATTGCAATTTTAGTCCCATAATTGAAAGGACAAAAATACCCTCGCATGCATGGTATGCGGGGAAGAAAACAGAATGCCTCTAAGTTAGAGGCAGGGACCAAATACACAACTCAAACATCAAAAAAGGACGTTTTTTGCTAGAAAACATTTTTTTGGACCTTACCCATAGAAATCAGCAAACCACAAGGACCATTTTTCCAATTTTGTCTTTAATGTCCTTATATTGAATTCATGATTGGTTTAATTGTAAATTAAAATTTTAAATTTTTTATTTTTGAAATTTAAAATATAACCTAGTATTTTTGAAAGGTTTTAAAAATACACCCTTATATCATATGTAATATTAAAAAGTATAATATTACTATATGTATAAGACAAGTCTATTGAACCACTAGTACACCTCATTCACAAAGCCGATCTATAAGGGGGTATAAGAAATTTGCCTATAAAATGGTGGTTGAATGGGTGTTCACTCTCTCCCACTACTTCCTTGATTGGGGGAAGGTCGTTAGCCGAACGAATTTGATAGGACAAACTAATCCTCATTAATAAGTATAATGAATTATAAAGTAACTAAACTTATTTTTTTAAAATTTGCAACCTTAGTTACTTCAGGAAAAATGTGAACTTGTATGCTAACCCATGAAACTACATATTGCACTTTATAAGTCGTTAGTAGAGCGAGTGTCATTAACCGACACACTAATAGGGACAAATAAAGAGTGACAATGGGTTTCTTGAAAATTATCATTGATTAATGGAGCGCATGTGACTAACTAGCACATTAAAATGAGATGATAAACGCCATTGAGAGTACCAAACAAATTTGTGTAACATCCTGTTCTGGATCATTTCATGATTTAAAGCTTCTGGGCCGTAATTCAGGCATGAGAAGGTTTTGAGGTTTTAAGGGAGAAGGTATAGGCCAACTTCAGATATGGATAAGGTAGCTTGCGTGATGAAAAAGGTCGGGTTGTGCTTTAGAGCCCAATAGTATTGGTAAAGGAGTTGGGTTGGTCTTTTATGAATTTGAGTTTTGTTCGAGGAGTTTTAAGGCTATGATGTGTTGCTAGAAGCGTAGGGCTTCTCACCACCTTTCCGTTGATATAAGGTTCATTGGAAATAGACTTATTATGAAGGAGTTATGATAGTTTGAAGTTTTGGCAAGTTTGGCCCTTGGTGGAATAAGTTGGCAGATTAGTCCCATGTGCCGAGCAAAGGGACGCGTGGATGAACTCGGTACACCCAACGTACCTAAAGCTACTCTGCGCATAATGACCAGGATGCCCAACCTCATTTTTAGGGTTTGGTCACTAGATAAAGATCATTATAACTTCAAGACTCCCTTATGTATTAGCCTCCAGGCTCTAAAACCCTAATTATGAACCCTAGTCTCCTCCAAGAGTATTGTGAGCTCCTTGTGTGCATTTTAAATGGGTTTTGGTGTTCATTCAATATTTGGGACTTGATGTCAGTTGGTGGATCAAAGGGAACGTGATGGGTTTCTAGCAATACATCAATCTTATGGTGTACATGCAAACCCTAATACCTTTTGGATCTAGTTTGTCTAATGAACATGCAATTGAATATCCAAAGCTATAAACCCTAGATCTAGCATACAAATAATCATATTAACATAAAATAGGGTTTATATCTGACCTTTGATTGTTATATAGCAATAACAATCAATCCTTAGCATCAGAAAGCTTAGTGCCTCAAGTGTTGCACCTCTAATGGAGTCACAAACACCACTAAGCAACAAGATGAAGAAGAGAAGAGATGGGAGGCACCAAAAACGGTTGGAAACCCTAATCCAAGTGTTAGCCACATTTTTGGTGCCTAAGGGCTCCTTATATACTTAGGCAATTAGGGTTATCTAACAAGGAAACCCTAATTTGACTGCTTAAGTCTTAAGCAGCCCATGAACTCCTTCCTTAAAAGCCTTGGACGACTTCTAATGCCCCCCCCCCCCCCCCATAGAATTCGTCCACTCCACCTTCTATGGAGTCCATAAGCCCATCTATGTAATTATCTTATAATTACACAATAAGTCCCTTAAGTTTAATTAATCTCTTTTAGCCACAAAATTAATTCTTAATTAATTCTTGACTAATATTAATTAAACAATATGATTTATCCTTTAATATATTATTCTAATAATATATTAATAAAACATAATTAAACCTTTCTCTCCTTAATTCATCCTACATATTGCTATGGTGAAGGCAACCCAAAAGGACCATGCTCATAATCGGGTCAAGTACATACCAAAATAGTTATGGACTTAGACACTAATCCAACAAAAAGCTGGTAGATCTGGACTCTCTTCTTCATTTCCAGTTCATTAGAGGTATAAAGCTCCAACCTTGATCATTTGAACTTAGATCTAGTATGATATGAGTTTTGGTCCCATTTTGGTCTCATGGGTGAGATCTAGTGGCTTTCCACCACTCCAGGGGCTTTGAGTTACTACT